AATGGACAATTGTGTTATTTGTATTAGCTATTTTGTTAAATTTATGTAATGGTTCTAATTGTGCTGCATTATTTTAATTTTGGAATGTGTAATGAACTTATATATAATGAATTATGCTTTGTTATTTTCAATTTGGAGAATGAAATTGATTTTTTAATGTTCAAATGTTGGTTTATGTTTGGTTTTTGGTAAAACTGATTACCAAACCGATTTAATTTGGTTTTTACTGAACCGAACCATTTGATTTCGGTTCGGTATTTGGTACAAAAAATAAATTACTGAAATTTCGGTTTACCGAATTTTTGGTTTTGGTTCGGTTCGGTTTACCGAATTTTTGGTTTGGTTTGGTTCGGTTCGGTTTTCCTCTACACTAGAATACTTACATGAAGAACAAGGTGAATCATTTAATTTCAAGTTAGTCTCCTCAAAAGCCTTATTTTCAATTTTGAGGGAGTCAAGTTCTTTTTGCAAAAGGGTGATTTCATGTTCCAAATCTTTGGAAATAGAGGAAACTTTCTTAAACTCTTTAAATAAATCACAAAATGCTTCTTGTAGTTCTTCAAAACTAAAAGGATTGTTAGAAGCACTTACCTCTACGGATTTAGTTTGAGCCAAAAGAGAAATGGCTACTTCATCATAGGATGAGGAAGAAGAGCTATAGTTGGAATGCTCTCGGTGTTTGGATTTCTTGATTTTTTCGATTAAGGAAATGACCCTTGATACGTCCATGCTTCCCACATCCATAGCATGTAGGCTTTGTACTCTCTTTCAATTTTTCTTGTTCAGGCTCATTTTGCAAGAAGTCATTAAATAACTCAATAATTTCACTTTCTTCATAGTTGCTTGGCTCGACATATTTTGACGATGAAGCTTTGAGTGCAACTCCTTTGAATGATAGATTTTGATCCCTTTTGATCTCTGGTGCACTAGAAAAGTTAGACATTTCATAAGGGAAAATGCTAGAGTCACAAACTTCACAAACTTGCTTTTTCTGGATTTTAAATTAAAACATCTTTTATTATTTGAGTGCATCTTATATCTAAGAAAGTCTTAAAAAGGTAAGTTTATGAATTTTGTGAACAGTTTGTTTGTGACTCTAGCATTACTCTTTCATAAGTGAGAAGTTTACCTCGAAGTATGTCATATGTCAACATGTTGTAATCTCGGCCTTCTTTGATAGGGTTGACTATGGACTTCCACTTCGGTGTGAGACTTTGAAGGATTTTTCGAACAAGAACATAATCATCGTAATGCTTATTGAGTGTATCCAAATTGGTGACTATGGTTGAAAATCACTCGAACATGTCATCTATTGTTTCATTTTCCATCATATTGAAAAGCTCGTACTCGTGGAGGAGCAGGTCAACCTTCGAGTCCCTCACTTGACTTGTTCCTTCATATGTGACCTCTAACTTGTTCCACATCTCGTTGGCCATCCCTTGATATTTTCTGATAATCATTCGGGTTCACGGCACAATACAAGAAGTTGATGGCCTTTGCATTCAGTTGCACTTTCTTCTTGTCATTTGAGGTATATTCAGTTTCCAACTTTGAAACAAGAACCCCGTCAACTATCTTCGTGGGAACTATTTCTCCATGCTTGATCACCAACCAAGAATCAAAATCATTTGATTAGATGAAGATTCTCATTCTCTTTCCAATAAACATAATTGGTGCCATCGAAGAGTGGTGGCCTTGTTGTGGATTGTCCTTCGAGAACTACGGGTTGTGGATTGTCCTTCGACAACAACTCGAGAACTTGATTTCACAAGCCTCTTATCCTACCATCGAAGCCTTGATTTCACAAAACTCGGGATTTCTTCCACATAACGTTTGATTTCACAAATCATTAGGATTTCTACCACTTGGTGTAATCCCAACACGAATAATACAAATCCCTTACAAAAAGTAAGAAAAAAACCACAGTAGAATAATACTCGCAAAACAGAGTAGATAGCTTTAAATACAATGAAGTCCTATAGAATATGGTAAAGCCTCTCAAAGACTGAAGCAATGAGGATAAACTCAAGCAAGAAAGGATTAAACAATCAAAACAATTGCCTTGTTTGGATATTCGAAGGGGATTGAGTAAAATCTCTTTGGATATTCAAAGGATGTGTTCTTCAAAGTGTTCTTGGTGTTTTTCTAATGATAATAACGAGACAAGGGAGTTTATAGAAGTTGTGGAGTGGTTATGGATGAAAAGCATTCAAAAAACTAGTCGTTTGGAAGTTGAAACTGTCAGATTGTTTGAATAAACCAAGAACTATTCGAATAGTTCAAAACAAACCTGAAGCAAGAAAAAACAGCCACTTAGTTGACTAAACTTCATTTTAGTCGAATAAATCAGCACGTTCCACCCAACTCAGAAGTTCTAGACTTATTCGAATAAACCAAAGGCTATTCAAATAGAAGAGCAACTTCTTCATACAAAGGCTAGTCTAAAAGTTATTTTGAAGGTAGGATTATTAATGAATAAGCCTTAGAGATTCCATACGCTTTAACACACATTCTAAGACCTAAAAGACTACCCAACCAAGGAAACAACATCTTTGATCTTGATCTTTACATTGATGCTCAAGTCTCTTCTTCAAGGACAGATATGAACTTATTATAGCTTTGATTCTAAGCCTTGACGCACAATATGATGGTGATCTTTTGTCACTCTTTTGTCATTATCAAAACTTAAAAGACAATGGGAAAATGATATTGCAAATATATATACATTCATGATATCACATTGTCCAACATAGCAAACTACAAAAAAGTGAGCACGTTTTTGGATCGTGTCCACAAATAGTTTCATCTAAAACTAGGGAGAGAAAACAACTGTATGTTAGACATGTAGAAAAAGTGGGTGGGGTCAACAAGATATCATCAACGTTGTGCATCAAGACTACAAGCGCATTGAGGGCCATGCTTTTGGTAATATCGAGGCATGGAAGATTATGTGTCAGTCAATGCACTGGTAAGAAACGGAACCCTTTTGACTGTCTAAGCGGTCGAAGACTTCATCATCCACCGACCCTTTCACCAAAAGTCAAGGGTCGGACGCCCACTTCTACATCAACCTCAACAAAGAGGAAGAGGGCGATGAGGTCTATGTGCAAGGTGTGTCAAGGCCAACAGGACGGGATCAATCAAAGGCGAAGAAGAGAGGCAAAGAGAAAGTCGCTTCGGGTTCCAAGGATGGCGGTGATTACAAGAGAAGTTGCAGTCCTTTTCCACTCAAATGACTGAATTTTCGCAGGTGAAAAGAGCTTCCATCGAATTAAAAAGAAATCGTGAAATGGTGACCGACATGGCATTCCTAAGCACGAAGTAGGTAGTATGGATGAACGTGATCCTACCTTGATCGAGATGATGTAGGAAAAAATAAGAAAAAAATATGAGGCCAGACATGATCGTGCCTATATTTTTTATATTTCATATGTTTTTATTTCTACCATGTTTTTTTTCATGTATTTTTTTCCTTAATTTAAGTAATGCATGTGTATACTTTTCTTTTATTAGTGTAATATATGCGTTTTTAATTAATAGTCTTTTTTGTGTAATACTTTGTTATAATATAATAAAAAGGAAAAAGAATTATTAACGAAAAAATAACAAAATAAATTTGTATTTTTTGTATGATTTATTTATAAATGATATAGTTCAATTTGAATATAAAAAAGTAATTATTTATAAAAAAATAAAACTGTAATCAGTGCAGTAGTGGTGAAGCATTACAGTTGTGAAGTGAATAGATGACACAATATATACTGTACAACCGGTGGTACGATGTTTTCCATACATCCGCGACGAGTGCTCATTTACGACTAATTAAATTCTCATTTTCGAACAAGTGAATATTCATTCTCGAGTAACTGAGTACTCATTTCTCTAAAATTCATTTATGCTTGAAAATGAGAATCCAATTAAGTTTGAAACTAATAATTCAGTTACTCAAAAATGAATACTCTGAGTACTCATTTCTCTAAATTTCAGTTATGCTCGAAAATGAAAATTCTGTTAATCTCGAGAATAGTAATTCAGTTACTCGAAAATGAATACTTTGTTACTCAAAAACGAATATTCACTTATTCGATAATGGATATTAATGTGAATGTACGAGAAATACGTTCTCGCGAGTACATTTAGGGGGTGTTTGTTTTTCCGCCAGAAGACCTTCTGGCGTCTTTTGTCTGCGCCGCGCAGACGCGCGCAGATGATGGGCTCTGCAGATTGTTTGTTTTTTGGAAGACATTTCACTCAAAAAGGTCTTCCTGACATCTTCTTGGAGAAGACATTAACCAATGTCTTCTAATATCTTCTCCTTTTTTTCTACTTCTCTTCACCACCACAACCGTTCACCGCCACCGTCCACCACTACCACCGTCCACCATCACCGTCACCGTCCATCACCATCGTCGTCCACCACCATCCACCGCCACCACCACCACCGTCCACCACCACCGCCGTCAACGTCCACCACCACCCTCCACCACCACCACAATCGTCCATACACCACCACCGTACACTACCACCATTACTTTATATAGCAGTCTACAGACATTAAAAAAACAAACAGTCTTCTTCTTGCAGACCGCAGACCTTCGGTCCACCACTTCTCCTGCAGATGTCTACAGTAGTGGTCCGCAGACCGCAGACCTTTTTCTGCAGAAAAAACAAACACCCCCTTAGTGCTAATATAGCTGGTCATTTGGATTGAGTGGGGTGAAAGTGTGAAACACTACTCAATAGTTGAGGGATGGATAGACACTAGAGATAGCCTTAACCAAAATAAAAAGGAGTATGCTACATATAACTCAAAATTTGTATCTCATTTGTACACGAAAAGTATGATCAACATTTTAATGGTTCACACTGACACAAAGTATTGGTGCCTTAACAAAAATTTACACTGACACAAAGTATTAGTGTGCTAATAAAAATTGGCATTACACAACCTAAAATGTTTGTATTTCAGCTGTATACAAAATGAGAGGTTCTTGGGGGAAAGAAATGAGGACTTTGATTTCCCGTTTTACTGCTGGTCAGCGGCGTTAGGGCTCAAGGAGGCGTGCGACAGGAGGGTTACAGGGAGGAGACGAACCAGTGCAACACGATTGAAGGAGGCTTTTCGAACAATTGGAACCAATTTGTCGTTCTCCAGGTCTTCGTCGTTAGTGGTGAGTGGAATAATTTCCCCATCCTGTATTCTTGAGTTTGGGTCGAAATGGCGTCTTACATGGGTACTGCCGGCGATATCTTTGCGGGTGGGACTATTTCCAGTGGGACTATTGCCGTCGATATCTTGTCCGGTGGGATGGTTGACAATAGTTTTTCTGACGGGACAGAGGCAAGGGATCCACTGGCCTGGTTGGGGCCAAAGAGGGAAGGAATCTGGACGGCTCCTGTTCTCCTGTCGGCATAGCCGCAATTTCCGTCCAGAGTTGGGAACTGGAGGGGGGGGGGTGAAAGACATATTAATCCCTGTTCCCATGGTCAAATGTGGAACTTTTTTGTAAAACCAGATCCTTAACAGCCATGCTGTTTAGTTTTTGATAATCTCCTTGTAAACAAAGCAATATCTTTTACGGAGCATTTTTGTGTTAGAATACATTTTCGGTGCTTCCTTTCTTCACTATTACATTGACATAGGAATATGATAGCCTAGCTTTGTGGAGGGAGCTATAATTCTTTTTCCATGCTTCATTGGTGGGGCTTGCCTACATACCTCGACATGTTTTGGATACAAAAATCATAGACACGGCATTCTACTAACATTAACCATACTAGATACCCGGAGTAATAGTTCAATTGCTGATTCGGTAAAGTAACTTATTTTCTAAGAATTTATGTGTTTCAGCTTGAAGCCTAGAAGCAGTGCTTCTTTGAACTCTAAGATGAATATAAATGGTGATGATGCACCCCATAATATTCAGAGCACTAAAGCTCCACCAAGTGCTGCAAAGGTTTCCATACTCGCCAACAAGTCTGGGTTTGTGATTCCTAGAAACAAGTTGTCAGGCTCTCTGGTTCCTGTATTCCGAGGAGGCAAAAAGGAAGGTACACAGTCAGTGAATGATGACATAAGTAAACTGGTGCAAAGAAAAACCAAGTGGGGTCCTGATCTTACACAAGATACAACTGTTAGGAAAGGAAGAGTCTTAGCATATCAGGTATTGGGACCATGCATTTGAGTTCTTTCATTCCTTGATTAGAATTTGCCGTCATTCTCTGAACTGGAAATAATGAATTAATGAGTTTCCTTCTGTAGGCGTATCATTTTATATACAGGTAAAAGATTTTGGTGCTTCATTTTGAATCCTTATCTTTTCCATTCAAGTAGTGTTCGTTTAACCATAGGAACATTAATTTTCATTCAGATTCATAGTAATTTATGAAAAATCCTGTTAGAAGTCATGAACTAGTTCTTAGACATGGATCAAAATTTTATAGCCCTGGTTTTTGGGAAGAATATTTTTGTTGCTCAGTGGCAAATAAGAAATTCTCATAGGGTGCTAAGATATCAGTGTCTTTTGTGGGATTGGCTTGTAGAGACTATTCCATACCAGGTGCCAATAAGTGATATTGCTCCATATGTGATGGTGAAAATTTTGAGCAGACTCGTATTGATCAAATAACACAACAGCTAAGCTCAGAACTCATGGATTGGGACAAGAGCCAAGACACGTTATCTGCTTCTACTATTGAGGATTATACTATTAAAGTTGAGGTAACATAACTTGATTAGCTTCTAAATTTAATGTTTTCAATTTCTACCTGGGTATGGTCTTCAAAGAGTTACATTTTATGAAGTTGCAGAATATAAAAGTTTTGGAACTTGAAAGGCGAGAAGCCATTGGTATGTTGAAACCTAGATCCTTGAGTTAGACTTCGTTTCCTCATTTCACTATACGGTACATAATTATTTGGTATAATATCAGGTGAACTCTTAACACTCAATCCGAACTATAGGCCACCTGCTGGCTACAAACCTGTTCAGAAAGAAGCAAAGATTCCTATTCCTGTGAGTTCAGAAGACTACATGTTACACTTTTTGTTTTGTACACACACACACATACATATTTATATGAGTGTAATCTTACACCAATTTTTTGTGTATGATTTTTTCACCAATTTTTTTGTGACAATCTTACACCAAATATTCGTTGGTGCAAGATTACCGTTCCCATATACGGAGTGTATATACATACATACATACATACATACAAAGAGAGAGAGAGAGAGAGAGAGAGAGAGAGAGAGAGAGAGAGAGAGAGAGAGAGAGCCAATAATGTTACACCACTTCAAGTGGTGTAACATCGTGACACCAGTGGTTTTGTGGAACCTACGGTGCTTCGTTCATAAAATTGATGGTTCCTACCCTCCTAAACCCTCCAACCCATCAATTTCAGCCCGTCCCCACCCCAGACCCCTTGCACCCCAGATTACCAATTTAGGGGCCCCCAAATCGGCGATCTGGGGGGGGGGGCTAGGGTGGAGGCGGGGTGAAATTGATGGGTTGGGTGGATTAGGGGGTAAGAACCATCAATTTAATGAACGGAGCACTGTAGGTGCCCCAAAACCACTGGTATCACGAAGTGGTGTTATTTTTGCTGGTGTGACATTACAAATCCCCCCCCACCCACACACACAGATATATGTGTGTGTGTGTGTGTGTGTATGTGTGTGTGTATATATATATATATATATATATATATATATATATAATCACCTACTTTAAATAAATCTCCTTTCGTCCTAAAAAAAGGTTTATATCTTACTTTTCTTGGTCAACATTTGTAAACATTGACCATTTAATTCAGGAAAACTTTGTTGATTTATAATGTCAACTTAATATGAGTAGATTCATCTTAAAAAATAATTTTGGAGTATTATAGTTTTATAAAATTTATTTATATATTAACAAAAATACTAATGATAGCAGTTTTGCATGGGAGAACATGAAAAGTTAACTTATTTTGGGAAGGAAGGAGTATGTTGATTTAACACACAAGCTATTTCCACGATAGCGTATTAAAATTGTACCATGCGGATTCATTTTGATACTTAAGGTCACTGTAATGATCTTTACCAATTGTTGCACTAACAGTCTCTTTGTTTTTTTTTGGGGGGGAGCTAATTATTAAATGATTATGATGTTCTGTCCTTTGGATTGCAAAGTAAATGGAGTGAGAGTAGTGTAGCGTATAAAAGATTATGATTGTGAGGGAGTGTTTCATATCCTCCCCTTCCATCAAATACTCCCTCCTTCCCAAATTGAACTTTACACTTTGACATTAAGTTTAAGAAAAAGTTGAAATGTTAAGTGTGTGGCCGAAAGTTGTGTAGAAGAGAGATAAATATTGTGAGCCACATTGCATACCTGAATTGGATTGTAAGAAAGTGTAAACTTCATTTTGGGACAGCCCAAAAGGAAAGTGTAAACTTCATTTTGGTGCATAGATAGTATATATTCATATGCCATGACATTAATGACTAATGCTTCTATCCAAAACAGGGTACCTTATGAGGCCTTTCTACTTGTTTCACTGCAGATCAAAGAGCATCCTGGGTATAATTTCCTTGGCATGATCTTCGGACCTGTGAGTGACACTCATAAACGTCTTGAAAAGGTAACATTGTGTATCACTATTTTGATTTACTTGTAAGGTATGGTGTGCATTTTCCGGGGGTCTCTTTGGAAACAACCTCTCTACTTTCGAGTAGGGGTAAGGTCTGCGTACACACACCCTCCCCTGACCCTACTCTTGTGGGATTCAACTGGGTTGTTGTATGATGTGCATTTATGATGACTAAAATTATATTCCCTCAGTCCCAAAAAGAACTTGACATTGTGGTTTACAATACTTGATTGCAGCTACGGAGTATTTTCAATTCAATTTAATTCAATATTGGTATTAAATATAAAAATAAAATCTATATAATAAAAAACTACATCAAAAGTTCTACAAAACAAGAGGTAATATTACTAGCACCAATTTTATCAAATGGGTAACAAAAATACACAAGAGACAAGATTGACCATATGAACAGTAAACATAAAGATCTTTTTGGGACAGAGAGACTAGGGAGTGGTAATTCAAGATTGGTACCAGCTATGCTTATCTTTTTTTGTAATGTTGTAATTTAGGAAATTGGGGCAAAAGTAAGAGTATATGGGATTAAAGCAGACACTGGACAAAAGGTAACTCGTGTTCCTTGACCTGATACGACTTTTCCAGTTTTCCCCATGGGAACTCATGAATACATGTACCCAAGAGGAAGTCATGGACCTTAAAGCAGACACTTGATCAAGATCTTAGTCTAAACTTACCCCTCACATTTACCACAGTTAACACATCACTTTTGAGATATTATATATACCAAATAGGAGTTTACTTCATTTCTATACAACTTAGAAAATGGTGGACAAATCTCTCTCTCTCTCTCTTTGAGAGCTTCTCTCTCTAGGAAGCCTTTGCCATGGCAAACAAGAGAAGATGATGGCAGCCCAGGGAGAAGTCATTTTCTACATCAGGGAGGTCACAAACTACACCAACCATAGCACACATCAAAGAGAACTATAACAATGTAAACTTATGGTAACCAGGCATTGACTTCAAAATTGAACTCAAGATCTGATCTGAACACGCAAAGAAAACATCGAGTTGATCCTATTGATATCAGTTGTGTTCTGAGGAAATTTTGAAACAGCTAGAGATTATCTCAGTTTCTCAATGGATCCTTCATCATTGCAAGTAAGCCATACTCGCTCTACTGCGATGTATGCAGCTGTTTTAGATAGTCACTCGGAGTTTACATTGAATTATATTCCTGCAATGGATATTAATGGAATTCCGGCAGCTAAAATTGATAATGAGGATATATTGCTGGAGATTGAATATTGGAAAAACCTTGGTATTTTGTATTATCGGAGCTAGGGGTGTATACGAATCGAATCGAAGCAAATATATCACTATTCGATTCGTATTCGATTAAAGTGATATGTATTCGAATTCGGATTCGTATATAATTCGAATTTTAAAAAACATTCGTATTCGATTCGATAGATATTTGACATATTTGAATTCGTATTCGAATATTCGAATTCGAAAATATTAGTAATTTTTTTCTTAAAACAAATTTCTNAAATTTATTTATAAATTATAATATTCGAATAATTTGAATAATAAACGAATCGAATCTATTAATATTTGTATTCGAATTCGAAAATAATTCGAATCTAAAATATGATTTGTATTCGGATTCGAATTCGAATATAGCGAATACGAATCATCTTTTTCGAATACGAATCACGAATCGAATACATTTTATTTGATTTGTATGCACCCCTAATCGGAGCAAATCCACCAATAGTGGTTATGGAGGGTTTCCTTGACCGGATCTGGAAAAGGCTGGGCAGTGAAAGAGTTATAGCCATGCTGAATAACATCTTTATGGTCCATTTCATTTTGTAAGAACACACATGTGATACTTCAATAACGTGTTTACTTTTTTTTAATAAAAAAACCCCTTGTGACGAAAGCGTGGAGCCCTGTTGTGTGTTCATGAAAGATCACTTCTAGAATGAACCACTTTTGCATTACTATCAACCCATTTGTTCTCCCATTGGAAATCATCAAGGCACAAAGGGTTGTAGTTACTCGATTTTCCCTTCTCGCAGCTTTTGCAACCTTGCTGCAATTATCCGGTTGTATTTGATATAAACTAAATCATTTAATCTTTGTTGCTCCAACCTATTTCTTTTCTTTGTGTGAATCTACTAAGGAAAAACCTATAATTATGAAAAAATAAATGTAGGATATTCGTAATTATTTGTTTGCATTTGTTTGTCTATCAAATTTGTCAACAAAATTGCATCACGGACTGTTGGATAGAAATTTAATCAAATGGTGACCCCTTTTATCCTTCCATCCATCAGACATAAGCGCGCAACCATACTCCTTCCATGCATCTGGTGCTTTTCTTTTAATTTGTCAGTCTCTTCTTTGGCCTTTTGTAGGAGAGGCACTCGCAGTTCATGATATGAAATTGGTTATTGAAGTTTTAATTTTAGTATTTTGCTTTACACTCCTTTGTAAAGGTGATGTATTACCAGATAACATAACCCATCATAGCTTATTTATACAATAGTCCATGATTAATTCAGATTCTGTGTCTTATGTCTTTTATCTATATTATTAGCACAACCTTTACCCAATGGCCAATGGGCAGATAGAATAAGGTGTTTCATAGCATGAGTTTTCAAAGTCCTGCCTTAGCCATCTTCTAGCTCAGAAGGCATTTCGGGCTACCTCTTTAATATGTCATTGACGGTTTTTCATTACGTTCACTCCTTTTCAATCTTCTAATTTAGCACATTTTAACTTCTTTAATGTACCCCATAATCATTCGTACTTTCGGTGCAAGTGAAGTCTGAAGTTACTCTTTGGAAATGTTACACCTTTCTTTGTCTCCTAGTTAATACATCATATCCTATGTCCTTGGCTTTGTGGGCTCCTCGTCCTCGATGTGAGAAAATTTAGTGGCTAATAGTAACTGAATTCCCATTAGGTCACAATTGTTTCTTTGCATGGATATTAAGAAAAAAATGATATTGTTTTTTTGTCTTTTTTATGTCCATATCTAAATCCTAATGGAGCTGAAAGATTTGTAATTTACAATGTTTTAGCTTTGAGTACATAATGGATTAAATCAAATTATCGAAATGGCACGTTCAACTTCCTTTGCCTTTTATTTTGAAGGAAGTTTTGTGTAATAAATGGATCAAGGCCTAACAGAAACATTCTCTCTATAGTTTACAAGGGTAAGGTTGCATACATCTTAACCCCAATGAAGTTGTGATTATACTCTTGTTAATTTGTGTGTTTTACCTTAAAAAGGAGGCAAATTGTTGTGAAAAGTTGTGTATATACTATATAGGTTAATGTGTCAAAGGGTTAATTGGAAAACTAGAAATTTTTAGAGTCCCAAGAAGAAAGTGAAGATAAATGTGAAACAAACGAAAAACAAAAATGGGACTTATAAAATGAGACATAGGTTGTACTCCTTATAATTTAGGCTATGCTATTCTTATCTGCCATTAGATTGAGAAAGTTGGAAGGCATATCTGATGTCTCTGTTGATAGACCTAAAGAAGAATATTGGTTAATATTTCATCTTTATGTTACGTGATGTATTTAATTTGCTTCACTCATTGCCCCAAACCTTCATTCACAAGGATCACCCTCCAGATCGATTATTTTTGTTTTAAACATATACAAAAACTTTGAAGATTGTAAGTTGCAGTATCTTTTAATGAGGGAAACAGTTTTATAAACATGGAAACTGAAGTGAAAATGATTCCTCTAGAATTTAGAACTGTTCGTGATTAGGGTATTTGTTTTGCTTGTTAAAAAGTCTCAATATCTCATGTACAGTGGGAACCTCCAAGTAGTGAGCTTACTCAATTCTAGCCTTGTAACTATATGGCCATGTTTGAATCACAGCCTTCTAGCTCAAAACTATTTTCTGTTTTGAGCTTTACCATAACTCACAAGTGAGCTTTTTGTTTTTCAATTATACATTTATTCGTTTACTAGTAATAGTTTGCATCTTCTATTTTAGAGTCATTAATATCCCTTTATTCTTATACATCTACTTCATATGTCCCAGGTTGAAATTACATCATCTGATGAAAATGAGACGTGCAGTATATACAAGGAGATGTATATTCAAGTGTTAGCTGATACCTATGAGAAGGTTGATACTGCAGTGTCTTTAATGGAACTTCTGGTCAACCCAGTTTCTGTGAGTCAACTAGCCATTAACTCAGTTGATGTAGTTGAATGAATCCCTGTAGTTTTTGTTGTGCCACTGTAATTAATAAAATGCCCTATTCTCCTTTCAGGTGAAGACAACCTCCGAATCTATGACAATTTCTAGTAATAATGGCATCACGGCTACTACTGATAACCCAGGAGTGGTTCAACAACCAATCATGGAGGGGTCTGGTCATGATCCCTCACACAGTCATTTCCAACAGAGCCCTTGGTTTCCTGGAATTCCATCTCAGAGTTCAATGCCCTCTACAGAAAGTTCACTGTCAAATGCTTGCAGTACTACACCCTCACTCATTGACCAACGGGGCATGGTGGCCAGATTTGGTTCTGTTCCTCAAAGCCATTCGCTCACATTTATGAGACCAAATGTTACTCTAGTTTCCCAACAGCCAAACCTTGCTCCTCTCGGTGCTCCTAAAAATCCTCTGACTGCTCCTTTGGGCCCTACAGCTCCTCACGGCATCCAAGTTTTTAGACCTGCTATTCATAACCAATTACCACCCTTTGGTAGTGGATGGTCAGCATGGAACTCTTCAGTGGTTCAAGGTATGACGAATGCAATGCTAACAAACCGACCTCTAGCTGCCCCACGGGGTAGTGGTCATCCAGTGGTCTCTATGGCAGCATCATCTGTTGCCTTTCCACGTGGTGATCTGTCCGGTTCTGCTCATAACCATCATCTCCCTAATTCTGTTTTACAACAACCTCAAATGCAGCATGTACGATCTGGCAATCCTAACTCGGCATTTCCATCTCAACCCATACCCCCTAGCAACTCTGTTAGTGGAAGGGCATTGAACATTGATGCCATTAATTCCCTTTCTGTTGGTGCTTCAACGCCACATCAGCAACCTGGTTCTAGAGCTTTTGTATTCCAGCCTCACCAACCAAATCCTCCGGCTCCCTCCCGAGTATTTGCAAGACCTGCTAATTGTCATTTTGATCTTCCGAGTAATTTCGTAAAAAACCAACCAATTCATTCAGTTCATGCAGCACCTCAGTCTCCATCCATTGTTAGACCGGAAATACGTAACTCATCAAATTCCTTAAATGTGATTCAAGGCTTCCCTGAAATGCAGGCAAACAACCGGATGATTCAATGGCAACCCACACCTGCCAGCTTTTCCGGAGGCCTTACTGGCCCTCCACCTCAACCTATAAGGCCAACCGTGTTTCCGAATTCAGGTGGTCCATCTCCAGCTTCTGGAGTTTTTAGACCCGCTATTCATAACTTCAATCCAGCAGTTCCTCCTTTGGCGAATCCTGGTAGTCCTTTTCCTCCACGATCAGGAAATATGATGTTTCAACATAATAATCCAGCAATGGTGGCTCATCCACCAAATCTTCAACCTCCAACCAGTGATTTTCGGCCAGGTAATCCCCCAGCTTCTGGCACTTTTGGAAAGCAGCAAACCTATGATTATGATCCCCTTTCACCGACATCTCTCTCGTAAACTGTCTCCCATTGGTTGATTACAAAAGGCAATGCCCCTTTATCAAGTCTAGTGAGATTTCTTTAGCCCAGTTCTACTTGTCAGGTGGACCTTTAGTAACTAAGATTAAGGCAATGGCCCCGCTGTGAATGCGATTCCCAAATTTGTATGGTATGGTTGCGATTTAAGGTGACAATATAGTAGCTTCTAGTGGGGTGGTTCTACTATATTATACACTTGACATGGTCGAACAAAAGTATTAGCCGACCAAAATATTCCCAGAGGTTGTTATGTAAGGATAGTTTGGCCAAATATGTCGAAGTGACTGCCATTGGTTTTGATTGTGACTAATTTGGTTGAACTTGTTGAATTGTTGGAAGATATATTTACACATTATACTCTCTTCTACAGGTTAAATTAGACGAAGTCTAATAGAGTAATCATTACATTGCATATTACTCCCTCCGACCTAATTTATAGTGTCTGTTTTGGTTTACGATGTTTGATTGAAACTATTTTCAAATTATTTTATATGACAAATGGTATAGAGTTAAAAAATATGAATTACATATTAAAATACTACATTAAAAGATCTACAAAACTAGTAGTGACAATAGTACTTTATTTTATCAAATTGCTAACGAAAATAGAGAAAGAAAGTGAATGAAGTTTGACTCTGTGAATAGTGAACATGCACTATAAATTGGGACGAATGAAGTAATACATTGAAATAATTTTTTTTGGATCTGTTAGGTACTTGCTCTATTTTTACAAAAACACTCCATTTGCCACCTCACTTGCACAATTATATTGTATAATATCTACATTAATTTTTAAACTGATGACTTGGGAAATATATCACTTTTTTTAGTTTTCATACAAATGGAGTAAATTATTTATTCTTCCTCCAACCCAAATATCAATCTTCTAACATTTCATTCTTTTGACTTGGAAAAGTTAATTTCAAAAATTTTCTAACTCTTTTTAATGTTTTTAACTTCTTATAGTTATTTCCAACATCCAGCTTTAGAATTCTAATAAAAAATAGCATGCCTTAATTATGTGAGACGTGATTGATATTTGGGTTGGAAGAGGAATAAGTAATTTATTTTTTATTCTAAAAACAAAAAGTACTTTTTTCTTTTCAAATTATCACTTTAAAAGTGCATTTAGATATTACGGAGTACACAGTTTTATTGTGCAAGGTGGTGGGTGGAGTGTTTCGGTAAAAAAAAAGAACAATTTTGAGAGTAATGATGCAATTAATTGATTTTCAAAGTATTCTTGCAAGAGAAACAGATTAAGGTAGTAGTAAAATAAGAGTTCCATGTTTTATTTCTGAAATAAGACTTAAAGCGCATTTATATTACCAATCATGACCATTTACGTTATCAAAAAGTATAGTAAAATGTCCATGTACAAGGCCATGACACTTTCAGAAAATAAAAACATGAAACTTTTATTTCGATACTTTTTGTATATTTTATTCCTATTTGTGGTGATTTCTTTTCATCTAAATAAAAAATTTGTCAAAGTATTATTGTGATTTTTTTATTACTTCCTCCATCCCCCAGTTTTTATCCACTTTTGTTTTGGCACAAAAACCAAAGTGGAGAGCAAAATGACATATCTACCCTTGAAGTAAAAAAAGTAAAAAGAGTTCCAGTGTCACTTGCCCTTCACCCATCAATATTCTCCGCCGCCCCAACCTCACCTATCCAACCCCTCCACTGCCCATGGCCACGCAGACCCATTCCCTCCACCGCCCAAACCTTGTCCGTAGATTCCCTTCATTGCTTCAACCTCTCCGACCATTCCCTATGCCGCCTAAACCCCGCCCGACCTTTCCCTCCGTCGCTTCAACCTCGCCGGAGATCTAAATTTGGAGAAGGTATCCACCCTTTGAAGACATCCAGCCGCCATCCAAAAAGGAATACTTGACAAATATTCGGGGATGGAGGGGGTAAAAAAACACATTGAAGTGATTGAACAGAACAAACTCTGAATTCCACAGCTCCAATTATTACACCATCGCCACATTCGAGATCTAGATATATCTCTCAGGTTTAAATTCAAATCTCTCGCGCGCACGTTTTCCCTCTCTGATCTCGTGCTGCTGAGCCAAAGCTACAACTACGTTTTGCTTCTTTACTTTTTTTTATTTATTTCTGGGTTTTGTTTTTTAATCTTGAAAATAAGAGTGATGAAATGAAGGAAAAAGGAATGGGTGGTGAAGGATTTTACACAACGTTTTAGTTTCTGTGCTAAAACGAAAGCAGACACTCCGGCCGGAACGAAAAGAGTATTTTATCGACTACTCCCTCCAATTTTTTAACTAGCCGTGTCACTTTTACGTAGAACGCTTGTAAACTGAAACAGTAAAAACTATACAAATACATCGTTCCCAAATGTTAAAAACGGAACAAATCGACAGAAGCGCCAAAGATTCATGCTGTCTAATTTTACACCAAACGCAGTTACGGACGTTCATAAACAATCCTAAATAAAAGCTACAACCATCTCACCTGCACCTTTGGATTCTCTCATTTTTCTTTTTCNGGGACTAAACAAACGAAAAATAAATGAGAAGAAATAGACAGATGTCTTGTGTCCGCAACGATACATGGAAATCTCAAGCTTAAGTTTGAATTTTTTCAAAGAGGTTGCGGACTGCTGGTGTATATACGGCTTTACGGACCTGATGCAGTGTTATACGTACAGTTGGTTCAGATTTTCACAAGCTTCACGTCATTTTGCCCAAATGCAGTTCCACAACCAGGGCACTTCCGGTGGCGGAGCTCTACATTTCGTTGAATACATTGATTGCAGAATAGATGATAGCACTTGGTAATCACAACCTTCAAAAAATATGGCCACGTCAGCTCAGAAAAGTAAGACTGCCTTAATAAAACAAGTAACATATAACATTTCAAATTTCTTAAGAATTATTGGATGAAGAGCTTCTTTCAATGAGAAAACATGATTTCTCATTCTTAGATAATACTCCCTCTGTCCCGCAATAATGTTTCATATTTTCTTTTTTATCCGTCCCAGAAAAAGTTCCACTTTGCACTTCTGGAAAAGTTTTTGTGGCTATTATTCTTCCTCTCTCCTCTGCACCATTTTTAACCTTACAATTTTACTTTTCTTAATCTATGTGCGTGTCCGGTCAATTGGGGACATTATTGCAGGACGGAGGGAGTAGCAATTTGTTTGTCCAGATTACAAACTCATGAATTGACAATTTGGGCAAAACACAAATGTAGTGAACATGCATCTCGAGCAATATATGAATTGAAAATATATCGCGCTATTGCAGTAATGATTGTTTTAAATTATATAAAATCGGTGAACTCAGATTATAAAAACACCACCACCACCGAATGGTCGAGTATCTACCTCCCCAAAAGGATTTCATTTCAGTGAATTCTTTTCTTTCTCAATGAAACCTATATGCTCGTGTAATCCAAGGATGCAGTTAGAATTACACAGTACTATTTCCATATTATAAATGAACGTATGTGAATACCTCTTTGGGACGATCACTACAGACACCACATTTGATAATAGCTTTACAGTCATTGATTTCTTCCTGGAGTCTCAGTATTGCAGCTTCACCGCTTTCAGAAGTTAACTCAGTAAAAATTCTATTCAAGTCTGTTAGCTCTTCATCAAGTTTTGTCTTCTCACTTCTGTTTGAACAAAATAATGAAATTAGTCTCAGGTTCATTGGTTAAAAAGCCAAAACGTGAGCATTAAATCAGATGCATCTCAGAACTGAACAACAAAATCCTAGAAGCTTACAACATACTCACAGGGAGATTCTTGACCCGTGGGATTCAATACTATAATTATTTGATAATGATCAACATAAAAAATCCCACGTATCCACAGTAAGACACAGAAGATTTAATAAAACCTACTACCTACTAATCAAATAAATCAACTAAGCCTTAACCCAAGTAACTTGGGGTCAGCTACACAAACAAAGAAGAGAACCATGTTTGGTCATTCAAAAAAGTGTCCTCTCGTTATTTCCTTCTTTCCATAACCACACTCTAGCGTCTTCCTGCACATTTCTAACTCCCCATTAACATTGCTCATCCCAATTGTCAAGAAAATACCATTACCAAGCAACATTCCACAAGGCAAATCATCTTGTATAGCCTTAGTTAGCTCATTTATAACCATTGTAAACAGGAATGAGCTAAATGTTGATGCTTGAGGTACTCCGGTAGCAACAGGAAAGCCCTATGTCATATTGTCATTCTTAGGCTGCTTCTTACATTTGTGTTTACTCACCAATCACACATGTCCTTTATGGGGCCTATCATGTGGAAGTCCTTTTTTCTTTGTCTAAACTTCTCCATCAATTGGCTAAAAAAGGGTTTGCCTCTGTAGTTGAACAACATGGTATAAAACCAAATTGGTAATCTGAAACACGTTTCATCTTTCTCAGCTATGTTAAATTACCCTCACCCAAAATTTCATAGTAAGACACATGATTTTAATTCCGTGGTAGCTTGACTATTCCTGAACGATGACTTTATTAATGTATAGAGGAATCAAAGCACATTTTCTCCATTGTGTTGGCATCTTCTTCACCCTGAAAATTTCATTGAAGAGCATCCCCTAAACGACCTCCAAGCCCTACACCTTGCCGCTTTACGTGTCTAGACCACCTCAACCTAGCTTCACGCGCAGCTTATCCTCCACAAGTGCCACTAACCTTGTTCCAAATCATATCCAACCTCCTCTGCCCACACATCCACCACAGCATCTGCATCTCTGCTGCATGAAGTTGGCGAACATCACTTTTCTTAACCACCCAACACACTGCTCTATAAAGCATAGCCGATATGACTACAAACCGATAGAACTTCTCCATCATCCTAGCCAATGTCATCTTGTCGCATAGGACTTCTACAGCCCGCTCCATTTTGCCCAAACGACTGCAATATGATGAACAACATCCTCGTCTATATATCGATATGCCTGAATGACTGAACCAAGACACGAAAATTTGTCTCTTAGGCACTGGCTGTGAATAAATCCAAAGAATATTCTAAGCAAAAAATAATAATTCTCTTCCCCTTGCAAACGCCACCATTTGATTTTTGAGTCAAGTACTAGTTTCCTTTTCTTAACCTCTTTTTAAATTAAAATCAAGCACTAACACTCTATATTGTTGGCTTCCATTGCCAATAGAGCTAAAAAGAGTCATATTGAACAATGTGTTTGCTTCAGGTAAATAATGAACTAAATCAAAATGCCACATTAAAATTCCCTTGTCTCTTACTTTCTATGGAATCTTGGGCAGTACATGCATCAAGTCATGAGTCCAACGGAGATAGCCTCTTTGTTTTCTG